GGCGCAGGATAGAGCAGGGTTTAGGGCTGTTGTGCATAGGGTCGCTATGAGTCGCAAACGACTTGACGGCACATAACAACAACAACAATCTATCAGATTGGCAAGGGACATGTGAATCTTGAAAACAAAGCTTCATATAATTTAAGGAGTTCCTCTTCTCTTTAACTGCAAAACTTACAGAAATAGGAGTAAAAAATTTCCATGATGTGTTAATGTGAGCTTACATCTAGTACATAGCTCAATTCTCAACTAATACAATGAAATATGTTCATGAGGAAATGTATGACATTTACTGCATTTGGAAGGAAGAGTCTTATTTCAAAAAAGTAAATTAGAAATAAATCCACTCAATTCTCACAATTAAATCCCTGAGTTAAATAATTACTGTTAATAATTACTGAAAGTCACATATTGGTGATCTGGCAAATACAGCATGCTCTTAAGAAGGATACAATCTAGACCAGAACATTATTGAAACACTGAGAAACCATTCTTGAAAATGTTAAGCGCCAGTGCACACAAAAGGGCCAGGCTCATTCATCACCAGGGCACGTCCTCATCATTTGGCTCATTCATCACCAGGGCACGTCCTCATCATTTGATATGCACCTCCCAGTTGGTGCCAATGTTCAGCGAAAGCTTCTCCAAGCTCAGGGTGGATGTTTTGGCACTGTATGTAAAATCCACAAGCTGATTTTTTCCATCTAAACATCAAGACAAGGAATGAAAGACAGTTTGATGAGTGTTTATGAAGGAAAAAAAACCATTTGAGATGTTTTCTGATCTCACCATAAGCGCCTGTATTTCCACTTAGGTAAATCCAAATTATTATTACTTTTATCCATGGAGTTCTAGTATTTTAAAATCAAGCAAGACTTCATCATTTTGAGCACAAGAATCATCATAAAATAAATAAAGAAGCCTATAAAGAATAAAGCAATCTGTCCAAGAAATGAAAAAGCTAAGAAAGGATATAAATCCCACTCAATGTCCTTGCATAAACTCCTATAAACATAGATAAAATTCTCCAGGACTTCAGAGATTTCTAGGTCAGAAATTAAAAAAGCATGAAAATACTATTCTAAGTCCCAAAGAGCTGCACTTATTTTTGCATTATGGTGTATAATGAGCAAGAAGATCAATTAATGAAGAGAAACAAAGACCTCATTTACTCAACACTAGTATGCTCAGTTTATCAGAAGGCACAGAGTCAGCTTGATCTAAGTGCATCACATCAATGTGGAGACAAATGAGCTCTTCACCAGAGATGCCTCTACGTTTACAAGAACACAAGACTTACAAGTGGCCAACTTCCTTACCAGACGAGTGGGTGGTTACAGAAGATGGTTGCTTCCTGAGGCCAAGGACCAAGATCTGCTCCACCACACACTTGCTGGGATAATGACCTCTGCTATCGGCACAGCTGGAACAAGCATGCAGGGTATTAGGAAAAGGAGACCAGGGGTTTGGTTTGGTCTTCAGGTCACATCTCCAGTCTTACAAGTTCTGTTTTGTCTGTCCCTTTAGAGTCATGAAGCATGTTAGCATCCTATCTACTAATATGAATAATTTTTTTTAAATGACTCTATATGTCACAGACTAGCTTACCAGTGGCCAAACCAATCTTCCCTTAACAAGCTATTTGGAGAGAAATCAATGGACAAATGTTGCATAAGTATTATGAAAAATTGTAAGAAATGAGATCATGCATTGCTGAATGGATAAGTAGAAGATTATATTGAGTCCTTTTTATTTATTTATTTTTTTTTTTTGCTTTTTATAGAGTGGAGAAAGGACAATGGAGAAAACAAAGAAGGGACATACATGGTGGATTGATGAAAAATACTCCACAAAGAACCTTCACCATTTCCTTTCTTTAAACAATACCCTAAAGTATCAGCTGTGCATTTGAAGATGCAAAAAAAAAAAAAAAAAAGAAAGCATAATAATTTATTTAAGAAAACAACCAAACATGGCTTTTTTAGCTGTCATTACCTGTTAGTCAAAACACCTGAACAGAATGAAAACTTCCTGTGCAAGAACTGTTTCTGGTGGACATACTGGAATGAATGTCCATCATCAAGATATAATTCACCCACTGCAGAGCCCTGGAGAGGGAATCACAGGTAGAGAATATGCTTATGTACAACATTTCTAGGAAACAATAGAATAAAAGAATTTCTAAAAAACTAAGCTTAATGTGCCAGCTGTACAAAGTAGACACAAATAATGTTGCTGTTGTTAGGTGCCACTGAGCTGATGATGACTTACAACGACCCTATGAACAACAGATTGGAATCGTGCCCTGTCCTGTGTGGTCCTTATCCTCTCTGCCACGCCTGAGCCCAACGTTACAGTCACTGTGCCAGTCTCTCTCCCTGAGGGTCACCCTCTCACTCAGTAATTCTCTACCTTTTCTAGCATGAGGCTGAGATGCCTTTTGAGATCTTCTGTTCACTTATGTCAGCATTTCTTCTTCCTTTGTTTTGGACTCTCTACATTCTAGCCAAAGTTTGAGTCTCTTCTGACATTCACTTTGGTCTTTTCTTTCTTCCCTGTCTTTGTAATGACCTTTTGCTTACATCATGTGTGATGTCCCTAATTCCATCTGACAACTCATCTGGTCTTTACATACTCAATACCTCAAATCTATTCTGAAGATGGTTTTTAAAATTCAGTTGGGATACACTCAAGATCATATTTTGGTTTTCATGGATTTGTTTTCTCTTCCTCAGCTTCAAATTGAAGTTGAACATGAACAATTAATGGTCTGTTCTACAGACAGCCCCTGGACTTGTTTTAACTGATGGTACTTAGCTTTTCTAGCAATTCTTTCCACAGATGTAGTTACCCTGATTGAGGTGAGGTCTGTGTGTATAGTCATTGTTTATGTATTTTTTTAAAAGGTGTTTGCAATGAATAAATCATCAATTGTATAAAATTCTATCATTCAATTTCTAGTCTCATTTCTGTCACCAAGGTCTTATTTTCTAACTACTAGTCTTTCTAGTTTCCAACTTTTGCATTCCAGTCACTAGTTATTTATTACTAATGTTTCTTGATTGCATGTTTGATTCATTTCAAACCGCAAACGTTGATAGAAATCCCATTTTTTTCCATCTGTGGTTTTAGTGATTGGTACATATATTTGAAGAATAGTTGTATTAATAGGTCTTTCTTGTATATATTTGGATAACATCCTATCACTCACAGTATTATATTCAGAATGATTTTGAAATATTCTTTTGACTATGAGTAATACACCATTCCGCTTCAATTTGTCATTCCAGCATAACAGATCATATGATTTTCTGATTCAGAATGACCTATTACAGTTTATCTCAGGTCAATAATGCCTAAGATGTCAATCTTTATGCATTTCATTTAATTTTTGACAACTTTAAAAAAAAAAGAAAATTTTGACAATTTTCCTTGATTCATTTTTGTGCATTCCATATTCCAATGATTAATGGATAATAGCAGCTGTTTCTGGTTTGTTTTTTTTTAGTGTCTTCAAACCTGAGGGGTTCATCTACCAGCACTATCCCCAGTAATAGTTCCTCTGTTATTTGTAGTGTTTTATAAGGCCTGTTATTTCAGAAGTCCTGTTTCTTAACCTGTCTTAGTCTGGATTCTTCACAGAATTCTGTACACCTTCAGTGACTCTGCTGTGTTTGAAATATCAGTGGCATTACTTCTAGCATTACAGCAACATGCAAGTCACCACAGTACTGCAAACTGTTAGATAAATGCTGTATCCATAAGGGCAAACTCTGAAACAAACAAGCATACAAGTATCATAAATATAGCCACTGGACACTCAATCTCTTCTCACTTTAATATGTTATGTAAAGGAGCATACCTGTGATATACAAGAAAAACACAGAGAAACTTAAACTGTGAAATATGGTTTGTGACTGAGGCAGCTTCTTTTAAAATACTAGTTTAGAATGTGGCAAGGTAAAAATTTCACAGAAAGAAAAGTAAAAAAATGCAGTTACAAAATTTTATATAATCAACGAGACTAGCTATCACTAGAAGACCCACTATTTAGAGAATGCTGTCTGACTCCACCTTTGTGCAGTAGAAAAATTCTTACGTGGCAAAAAAGTCATAGTGCTCCATATGGTGGGTTCCAAGTCAATTCCTCCCCACAGTGAGTCTCTCAGGGTTCTGAGACCATAAATCTTAAGAGGAGGACACTGCCCGTCTTTATCCTGTGGAGCAGTTGATGAATTGAAACCGCTGCATACTTTGGGCTCGCAGCACAACTGCCTTGGACTACGCCACCAGAGCTCCTTGTTTCTTATATTCATCTGATGACTTTTCATGGGACTAAAGCCCATGGAAGACAGGTTTTCCAAATGGATGGAAAAGAATGCTGCAGCTTACTCACTTATTTTATAGGATTGTATGTTGTTGTTGTTATGTGCTGTCGAGTTGCCTGTGACCCTATGTACAACAGCTCTGAAGCCCGCCCTGTCCTGAGCCAGTCTCACTAATTCTGACACACCCACCCCCATTGCCCCCGTCACAGAGTCAATCCTCCTCATCCTGGGTCTTCCTCTCCTGCACTGTCTTTTCACCCTCCCAAGCATAATGTCCCTCTTCCAAGACTGGACCCTCTTGGCCACGTACCCAAAGCAGGATTGTAGAAGAATATGAATTATCTGTGCACATGTATGCTAGGTTGTACGTAAGCCCTGTACTGCATTTAGGCAAACAGGGACACTAAGAGAAGAAGTGGCTTTCAGCTTCTCTTGGCTTAAAAGATCTTCTCAAAAGGACAGTTCAGTCAGTTCTGGATCCTTCCATTCCTCTCCCTGGGTGATTTTAGTTGTTGGGATTGCCTCATGAAAACAGAAGTTACCATGCGGGTGTGGTGGTCCCAAAATGTTGGCGACACACAGGTACTCTCTTGCATGAGGGTGGGTCTCAGAGCCAACCCACTGAAAGAGGGTGAGCAGGCTGTCACTGGCCTAGTAATCTTTCAGTGCTTAGTTTGAATGTCAAGCTACAGAGCACCAAAGGTCACACTGCCTCTAAAGATATTTTTATCATTCTTAGATGTCGGTTTCCTTAAGAACAACTCAACATCAGACAAACTAGACAATGATTCAGTACTAGATAAACTCACCCATGAGGATCACCCCTTATACATTTTATCACAATACAAAAGGCTACAGGTATAAAGAAACAGAAGAAAAAGAAATGTGTGTGCAAAGGTAACGTATTTCCACATACCTGAGAGCTGAGAGCTACCCGGAGACCATAGGGGGTCTCAGTCATCCAGCCCGTGGATTTTCCTACTGTTGTCTTCACTGGTATCACACTTCCACCTCGTTGAAACACGGGTATCTATAACAGAACAGCACTGTCAGGGAGGAATATTCAGAAAATATTTCAAAATAGAATTGAAGAACATTTTTTAGCACAAAACTTGCACTCATTTTTACAAGAACAAACTTAAATTTGTGGACATTGAGACATTACTAATATGATATAATAATAGGACTCCAAACACTGAAAAAATGGCTTCATTTTAAGTTTTTAGGGAAACTCCCTACTTTTCATTAATTTATGAACTACACATATACAGTGGATTGAACAGTGGTCCTGTAGTTTGTAACCCTTGAAACCTGTAAATTTGCCTTTTTTGGGAAAAAGGTTTTGCAGATGTAATTAAGGATCTTAAAATAAGATCATCTTATTCTGGATTATTCAGGTAGACCTAAAATCCCATGAAATATGTTGTTATAAGAGATAAAAGCAGAGACTTGACTCCAGAAGGTGAAAAACATGTCAAGATAGTAGCAGAGATTGGCCTTCTGCAGCTACAAGCCACAGAACACCTGGAGCCATCAGATGCTGAAAAAGTGTTAAGGAGCTGCGCTGCAATCCTGAAGGCACATGGTTCGAATCCACTAGGTGTTCTACAGGAGAAAGATGGGCAATCTCCTCCTGAGTAATTAACTGCCTCTGAAAACCTGCCTGAGTGTCAGCTATGGGCCAGTTCTGACTCGATGGTATGCAACAACAACAGAGTCCCCAGAGGGAGCACAGAACTTTGGGATTTTGTATTTTTAGGCTTTGTAACTGTGAGAATAAATTTCTGTTGTTTTAAGCCACTAAATTGGTGGTCATTTATATGGCAGTCGTAGGGCACTACCTCCTTATTGTTTTTCAAGTGAGGAGTTCAATTCTGCCTATCCTATTAGTGGTTTTTCCTATTTAGTATTGTTGATTTCTAGGGCTTTGCTGAAGTATAAATTTCTCTGTATGTGGAAGTGGATCCAGTTGTGTATGTATGTGAGTTTACAAAAGACAGTGGTTTCTTGGTTTGGAGAGAGGATTTTTCCCCTTACTCACTGCAGCCTGTTGTTGCTGGGTGCTGCTGAGCTGGTTGCAACTCACGGCAATCACATGCACAACAGAGCCAAGCACAGCCTGGCTCTGTGCCACACTCCCAGTTGTTGCTGCATTGGAGCCCATGGTTGTAGGCACTCTGGCAATCTATTTCACCGAGGGTCTTCTTTTTTTTTTTAATCCTTTATGAAACATCACCATGTTCTTCTCCAGGGACTGGCTCCTTGTGATAACATGTCAAAGCCTCATTGTCCTTGATTCAAGGAACATTCTCTTTGTATTTCTTCCAAGACAGGTTTGCTTTTGGCTATGGTCTATTTAATATTATTTGTCAACATAATAATTCAAATGCATCAGTTCTTCTTTTTCATTGTCAAGCTTTTGCATGCATATGAAGTAACTCAGAATAGTCTGGCATGACTCATGTGCACCTTAATTCTCAAAGTGACATCTTTGTTCTTGAATACTTTAAAGAAGTCCTTTTCAGCAGATTTATCCAATTTAATATGTCATTTCATTTCCCAACTGTTACTTTCATGTGCATTGATTAGGATCCCAGTAAAATTAAATCCTTGACAATGTCAATCATTTTTCCACTTATTACATCCATTTATTGGTCCAATTTTGAGTATTTTTGTTTTCTTTATGTTGAAGTATATTGCACAGTAAAGATTATAGTCTTTGGTCTTCAGCAGGATGGGCTTCAGATAATCTTCACTTTCAGTAAGCAAGGTATGTCACAGATTGATAAAGAGTTTTCTTCCAGTCTTGTTTCCATCGTCCAGTTTATCAGATTACTTGCTCAGCACCGAATAAGTATGGTGAAAGGATGAAACCCTGATTGACTGCAGCTTATGACTTTAATGATTCTTGCCTCTGGATCACCAGAATAACTCTTCAATTCTTTTTTTTCCCTCCTTAACTCTTCAATTCTGAAAATAAATATTTGTAACCACTTCTGTTAGAAAAACTTCCAAGGACATTTTAAGTGACTGTAATAACAAGGCAGAGCTGGACAATGAATAAGGATGACAAAGGAAGAATTGGCGCTCTTGAGTTGTGGTGCTAGAGAAGGGTACTGAATTTCCCATGGACTGTGAAAAGAACACACAGATATGACTTGGGAAAAGTACAGCCAGAATGCTCCTTGGAGGCAAAGACGGCAAAGACGGCAAAGCTTCAGCTATTCACTGGAGATGGACATCATGCTTGGGAAGATGGGAGATCAGCAGAGGGGAGGAAGACCTCCAGAGAGATGGATGGACACTGTGACTTCAACGATGTGCTTGAGTGTACCAGAGATGATGAGGATGACACAGCATAGGACAGAGTTCAGGTTGGCTGGTTATAGGGTCACTATGAGTCATACTCGACTTGATGGCACCTAACAACAACAAAAATAACAAGGCTGAAGGTGTAATCCATAAGGTCCCTGGGTGGAGCAAACAGTTTGCACTTGACTACACACCTAAAGACTGTTGGATGGAACACACTCAGTGGAAGAAAGGTCTGGTGTTCTGCTTCTGAAAGATGCTGCTCTTGTCAGGCGCCACTGAGTCAGCTCCAGCTCACAGTGACCCTGTGGACAATAGGAAGAAACCCTGCCCAATTCGGCTCCATCAGCACAATCTCTACTGTGTGAAAGCCCACTGTGGCAGTCACTGTGTCAATGTATCTCACTGAGGGCCTTCGTCTTCTTCACTCTCTACTTTTGTAAGCATGATGTCCTCCTTCAGGGACTGACCCCTCCTGATAACATGCACAAAGTATGTAGGATTAAGCCTCACAATCCTTGTTTCTAAGGATCACTCTGGTTGTACTTCTTCCAATGCAGCAGTTCATAGTATAGTAAAAAATTCTTTTCCAACACCACAATTCAAAGACATAATTTCTTCTTTGATCTTTATCCATTATCCAACTTTCACATGCATATAAAACAACTGAAAATAACACTAAGGTAAGGCACATCTTAGTCTTTAAAAAATTCTAAGAAGCAGTTTTACTCTTTAACTCTGCAACACATAGGTTTACCATGAGTGAGACCTGACTTAATGTTAACTGGTTTTGTTGATGTTTGTTTATTTTTAAGGCATACCTATGGGTTTTATGGAATGATATTCCTGGCAGGGAAAGCCCTGTAGATTTTTTGCCTCCTCAGCAGTATCTTATAAGGAAGCTGCCTGTATAACATAAGGTCTTGTACTTTGACAAAATATGCAGGGATTAAGCACAAGATCATCATGTATGAAGTCAGAAGTGAAGGTTGAATATTTAAGATTTCCACTTTTTATTTGCACTGCATTGCCTTTGGCAACAAGAAGTACATTTAATCTCCATCTCAACTCTCTCCCTGACAATTTTATTTTTTTCTTTGTTCTCCTTCATGTGTATGTGCGTGTCATGGTTGCTGTTCTTTTTTTCCATAAAGAATGAGGTAAGATGGTAGAGTGGAATGGGTTCTGGAGGGCAAGTCTAGTAGACATGGGTCTTATTTCAGTTTCATTACATTTTAGAAGTGACACGTAATTTACATATTCCGAATCTCAGTTTTTTTATCTGTATTCCGAATCTCAGTTTTTTTATCTGTATTCCGAATCTCAGTTTTTTTATCTGTATGTGTGAGGAATTAAAGTAGATAACTGTTAAAAGGTTACGTGTAGATTTAAAAATTGGTATCAGACTGGGAAAAAACATTTGGCAATATCATCTCAGACAAAGGTCTCATAACAAAAGTTTACAGAATATTACAGGTCCTGCATAAGGAAAAGACTGATAACCCAATTACAAAATAGGCAACAGACATGGAAAGACTTTTCACAGAGGAAGATATTCAGGTGGCCAACAGATAGATGAATAAATGCTCAAAATCACTGGCAATCAGAGAGATGCAAATCAAAACCACCATGAGACACAATCTCACTCCAGTTGCAATGGGAAAGTTTATCAGGACAGCAAGTAATAAGTGTTGGAGAGGATATGGAGAGATAGGAGATCTCATATACTGCTGGTGGGACTGTAAAATGGTATAATTGCTCTGGAAGGCATTTTGGTGTTTCCTAAAAAAGTTGAACACAGAAATTCTATATGCCCAGGTATTCCACTGCTAGAAATATATCTTGAAGGAAATTAGAACTGCGACAAAAATGGAGATCTGTACACCAAAGTTAGTAGCAGCATTATTCACAACTGTAAGAACATGGAAACAGCCCAAATGTCCAACCACAACTGAATGGATTGAGAAATTGTGGTACATTCACACGATGGAATGCTACATAGCACTCAGGAGCAATGATTTTGAAAAATACTACCTAACTTGGGAGAAACTACAGAGTATTATGCTGAGTGAACTAATTCAGTCCATAAGGACAAATACTGCATAAGACCATTATTGTAAAAATAGAAGGATAAATAATTAGTAAAACATGTATGAGGATCCAAGGGCAGAAGGGATGCAAGCAGAAGGGTGAGGATGTGCAGGAGGGAAATCATAGGGTTGCATAATTTGGTGGGTGGAAGGAGTAAGGGTAAAAGAAATGAAAAAGATCTGGTGGGGATCTGACAAGACAGGGTAATGTTGTGCACAGTTCAACTATTTTATAAAACATAATGAATTTATGTTTTATTAATTTATAGAACACAATGAATGGGAATGATTGTATGAAACACAATGTGAATGAAGGATAGTGTGAAACACAGTGTATATGAACTTTGTAAGCAAACCAATATAAAATAAAATTTTAAAAAGAGGTTTATACCTTAACATCAAGGAAACAAACAACAAAATTGGTATCTGAAATAATATTCTTTGTAATGAGTTTCAGACTGCTACTGATTTGAAAAAGAAAAAAAAATCAGTAACTATCTTCACACTACACAGGGCTGTAGTTGTAGCTGTGGTATAGCTGGAGAGTTCCCTTTATAAACTTGGTCCTCTAGGGTAAGTCACTGTGACTGTGCCATCATAAATGACAATATTCTTTTAGGCCTGGCGGTCAACTGAAAACTTGTGGTTTCTGACACGGCCCTGTAGAAGGACCTTCTCTATAGTGTTTATGGTGGCCACCGTATTTCCTGTTTTTAGTGTTATGACTTTTCTTGGACATATAACTGAAAACATACAAAGAAGTGGGAATGTGTGTGTATTCTTGATGTTTCATATTGTGAAATATGAGTATCTGTTATCCTTGTTTTCATATTTGTAAATAGTATTATAATTCTCATGCCATGCAATTTGCCTATATTGCGTATTTACAATTATGCAGCCATCATCCCAGTTTTAAAATATTCTTTTATCACACCAAAAGGAAACCTTGTACTCATTAGGAATCATTCCTTTGCAAGCCCTCTTACTGACCTAGCCTTCACTCACTCATTCATTACTGGCCATTGAGTTAGAACTTACTCATAGCTGCCCTTCATTTGGGTTTCTGGGGTTGTAAATCATGTGGGAAAAGATAGACCACCTTTCACCAATGGCAACACCAACTGATTACTATTACCAGAGCTGTAGCTTTTGGGTGAGCAGTGCAAGTCCCTAAAGACTATGCCACCAGAGCTCCCCGGCAGAACCCCTCAATCTACTGTTTCTATAAGTACGTGTAATCACACAGAACATTTTTAGTTCTTTCTGCATAGGTGTAGAAAGTTAAAGTAATAATTGAATAATTTGATATAACTTAATAATTTTATAGTTTATATAGGTTGATAATTGATTTATTACATAAAAATAATTGTTTGAAAAGAACTTACTGTGTCCAGGGTTACTGGAATCTTCACACTGCATGCTCCTTCCCAATGAGTAAATGTCTTAGAGTCATACCAGACCTAAAACAGAACAGATATCCTTGAAATAAAAGTACTCAAGCAACTCTGCTCCCAACTTCAGTATTAACATCTAATTTCTAGATTTTGAATATCACATGCTAAAAATAAGCATTCTGTTATCTCAGCTAGAAGTCAGAAATAGTAAATGACAAGATCCTGAAGAACTATAGACTGGATTAAAAGAATACTCATTTGTCCAAACATCCATTTGAAAATTGTTTATTGAACAATTTACTATATATTAGGCACTATATTGGGTCTTCTGGAAGCAGGAGTGACATCCACTTTCTAAACAACATGCCTCTGGAAACTTTATGAACTTTGACAGATGACGATAGTTACAGAAAGGCTTTAGGCCTTTTGTTCATAGGGTCGCTTTGAGTCATGCACGACTCGTAGACAAATCAACAACAACAACATATTGGGTTTAACTATAATGAATAAATACATCACTCTTGTCCTCATAGCAGGTGACTTATACAAATATAATACTTATAGTGACAGAAAAGATAACAAAAAATCTGAGGGAAAGAAAATGCACACAAGGAAGAAGAAAAGCATCCTGCAAGGAAGTAAATGATATGAGACTGAAGAAAAGGAAAATGTCAGAGAAGAAAACCGGTCTCCTGAGAGAAAGGCAAAAGGAAACTTGGATTCCTTTCATAGTCTCTCCTCCCACCCCCAGAGTACAATTCAGGAATAAGGCTCAAATGTTTATGTGGGATCCCTGTCATTATTATTTAGTTGCTGAAGTATCAAAAAGACCCCAGCAAGTAATGTGATGAGATACACCCTTAAAATACCAGCATTTGTTAGCAGGTGTCCTTGGGTCAAGGACGACTCATAGAAAGCCTATGAACAGCTGACCTATCCTGTGCCATCCTCATCATCTCTAACATACTAGAGTCCAAACTGCAGTTTCCAAGTCAATCCATCTTTTTGGGGTCTTTCTCTCTTTGTTGACCCTTCATCTTTGCAAGGATAATGTCTCAGTCCAAGGAACAGCCTTGCAGCTACATGTCCAAAGTATGAAAGACAAAGCTTCACCATCTTTGACTCCAAGGAGCACGCTGGCTGCACTTTTTCCAAGACGTATTTGTTCCTTCTTTTCTCAGTTCATGGCACATTCAGTACTCTTCTTCAGTACCACAATTCAAAGATAGAAAATTTTTTTAATTACTAATTCTTCTTCTGTCATTCGTTGTTCACCTCTCTGATATGTAGCAAGTAATTGACAAGACCATGGCCTGGATGAGGTGCACCTCAAGTCTTCAAATTGACATCGTTGCTCTCTGGCATTTTTGAGAGGTCTCTGAAAGTGAATTTGCCCTCAGCATAATATGAAAATTTTTCTCTCTTCTAGTCCAGTCATAGAGCCTACTTCAGAATTTCACATCCTGGGATTACCACATCCTTTACACAGCAGGAGAAAGTTAGTATTAACCAATAGTTAAAGTGCTCTGTTGTTAACAAAACGTTTGATGATTCAGACACATCTTTGGGGGAAGCTGTGGCAGTTTACTTCTGTAAAGAATTATAGCCTTGGAAACCCTTATGGGTCCTAGAGGGTCACAATGAGTAAGAATCAAACTGATGATAATAGGATTTGGGTTTTAAAGCAGGCTGTTCAGTTGTCACTGCCCTGCTGTGAATGGATCAGGCTATCACTCACTCAAAAATTCAAACTTATTGCCATTGATTTGATTCCAATTCACAGGGACCCTTCACTGGGTGTCAGGCTATATATCTTAACAGAAGGAGACTGATCATCTTTCTCCCTCTGAGTGGCTGGTGGATCACAAACTACATTATCAAGGACTTCAGGGAATGGGCTGTATAGAAATAGGACGAATGACAAGCAGGGAATGCAACTGCTGACCTTTTAGCTAGCAATGAAGTGCTCTAACCACTGTACCACCAGAGCCCTGACACGCCTCTCAAAGCCCACTAGAATTCCCAATTCTTCATCTAGCCATTCTTCTTTCTTGGAATATGACAACAGGTTTTTTTAAATTAGTCTTTTGCCTCTTTGAATCCATTTCTGAGGATATCCTCACATGATGTAATGTAGGACAATTGAGTCAATTGAGGTAAAGGGGCAACCTGGAAAGACATACTTGTCTCTTTTACTCAGGGTCTGTGAAGATTTAGAAAGAGAAACTACCACAGTGCATCCTGGAAAATAGTGTTGAAGGAATAAAGTACATAGTCACAATAAAGTGCTTGCAATGATGACCATTAGTGAAAATCATGGCTAAGTAGGAAAGGGAGCCCACTGAGCTCTTCACAGAAACCTCTCATTTTGGGTTTTGGGGTCTTTTTAAAATTGATTTGCTTACAAAGTTCATATACACTGTGTTCCCACTATTCTTCATTCACATTGTGTTTCATACATTCTCATGCATTATGTTTTATAAAATTAATCACCATCATTACCCTGTCTTTTTGCCCAGATCCTTCCCATTCCTTTCCCCCATCCCTCCACTCACCAAACTGTGAAACCCTAATGTTTGCCCCATCCATCCTCAGCCCACCATACCTTGAGTTCCCATACATGTACTTGTTTTCTTACTTAACCTTCTCTTTTTACAATAATGGTCTATTATTTTGACACGATCTTTGTGGAATCAATGTGAACACAAATACTAAGTAGAACAATTTATTTAGTTGTTTTATTTAACCCATTTCTTGTGTTTCTCCTGGGCTTTCCACTAAAGAACTGTAAAATCCTGGAGAAACCAAGAATTAGGAAAAATGTATTAACATTCTAGAGAAACATGTGTTTATTGTCAGAGGAACTGTGATAGTCCCTAGAAATATACAAAGAGGTATCCTCTACTTTGGTGAAGTTTGCTTCACCCCGCTTCAGTTTTATAAATGATCTATCACAGCACCTGTTTTAACTAAGCAAAAGAAATCTGAAGAGGATTTCTACTCTTTGGACAAAAGTGATAAAATGCAATTAGCATTCTATGTTTGCTTTGTAGAGAGCTGCTAAGAAGCAGCATGCATCCCGAGCAGTAGAAGCAGCATTGTCAAGCTCCTTCTCTCAGAAATTCTCTCAGCATTTCAACACCAAGCTATTTTATCTTCAGACTGAGTCTAGGAGCACTGTATGTTAGCAGCTTTTATATGTTAATTAGAATTATTTTACAGGTTATTTTCTGTGTCCAAGAATGCTCAACAAATTTCCCATGTAAATTAATAGTAACCACCACTTATTTGCTTTATGCCATTTCAGTCTATGAAGTTTCATAGGAACATTCTATTTTTGGATAATGGGGAAACCTGTATTCACTCCCTTCAGAATACATATTAAATAATAATAGATTTGGACAAGTGGAAGATTATCCAGGATTATCTAGCTGGGGTCTTAAATGCCTTTGAGTGTTCTTAAGAGAGAGAGAAGAGACAGATATATAGGAAGGAAGACTATGTGAAGACAGAAATAGAGACTGAAGGATACAGCGTACCAGTCCCAGAATGTCAAGGATGCCAGCAGACACCAGAAGTTAGCAGAGAGGTACAGGACAGATTCTCTTTCAGAACCCCCACAAGGAATCAACACTACTGACACCTTGATTCAGACTTAAGCCTCCAGAACTATAACAGAATACATTTTTTATTTTTTTTTAAGCTGTAAGATGTGTGCTAATTTGTTACAGCTGTCTCAGGAAACTAAACAAGTAAAGCTGTATTGAGAGAGAACAGGACTTGATTCAGCACTTGATAATTTGAAGCAGTGAATGTGGCCTGGCCTGGTTTACTCCTTACTTGTCATGACCCTGTAGGAATATCTTGACACAATGAGTCACCATGTTTTGGCTCATTATCTATCATGGCTCCTCCCCTTGCCTGCCCGGTTCTATCTCCTTCCTGTCCCCTATTCTATACCCTGTCTTGGCCCAGTGCCCTGAGTTTCTGCCCTGACTCTCCTCTTGATTTCTTTGGAAATATGTTGTTTGCCACTATAAGCTGTTGCCTCTAATTTCCTGGGTTCTTTTCCCTGCAGCCATGGGTTAGTACTCCAAGCCCTTACAACTTGCTTGGGTTCAGTGCCCTGGGATATAACAAGCCCAGGATATTTTACATAGTGATGATGACTTGTGTAGTTATTGTTGTTCAGTTCCATCGAGTTGTAGATGACTCATAGTGACCCTATGAATGAAAGACCTGAATATCTGTATAACTTTCATCGTTTCTCCACATACATTGAGTTTCCGGAGGCGAGCTATTTCAGAAGTGTATGCTACTCCTGCTTCCAAGCTTGTTTTAATCAGGAAGCTCCACCAAACACTGTCCACTATGGGTAACCATTATCACTTTTGGCACATCAGTGTCACAGTGTTTAGCATCATAGCAACCACGAGTTTCCTCTGTACAGCAAATGGACAGACCAGTGCTATACGACCTAGAAGAATGTTTGAGCAAAAACAATTAAAACCAGGCTTGAGGGCCGCAGATTAAAATCACCCACGCTGGGCTTGGTGGCATAACTTCCTATCCACTAGGCCAACAGAGCTCTCTCTGTTGTTGTTGTTGTTAAGTTCAATAAGAGTAATTATAATAACAAAAGAGCAAAGGCTGACTGGAAGGACATAGAAGAAAGGCATTATTGTTACTTTTATCTACTTGGAAAACACTGCAGAACAGCTTTTGGTGCTAATACTACTCTGAATTCAGAAAGAATCAGACAGAAGAGCAAGTCTCTTCATGCTTATGATTCCTTCCGGAACTTCATACCTCATGGTTAGATTGAACATTTCTTCTTACTCAAGTTCTCAATATGTTTACAAGGGGTCACAATTTAAGATAAAGCACTATTGTGATGCTTCTTGAATTCATCTGTTCACCTTTTTCTTTACCCTTCTCTGCACTCTGCACATTAAGTTTCCTGACCTTCGAGGACAGTGATGATGACTTACAAGAAATCTTCAGTTACTGAAGTCATTTGGGATAGATTCACAACTGCATAATGAAGAATTGTTTTTCCCAAAATGGACTAATTCAACAGACTGGAGAGATGAAAGAAAGGCATAAGGTTTGTGGTTGTTCGCCATTTACCTCATCTGATCCTGGCAGAAACACATTGACCACAGTGGCTTTTGCTTCTGTGACTGGATGAACCAATAAAGCACTTCCTAAAAAAATGGAGAGGAAAGAAATACAGTATTTTGAGATAAAACCTGAAGTTATCATTTGCCTTTAATTGAGATCTCTTTTTTCTTTGAAAATCACTTGATCCTGAACTTCTTGAAGGATGACACTGTGATGATTTGAACCAATCAGAAAGATACACTGTTAGAAAGAGAACAGGTGTATTATTATCACTTGGCATTAATGTACTTGGGTATATCAGGTGTGAAAGGAGGAACTTAGACACCATCTACCAGAGCCTCATTTTGTTTGTAACTGCAAGTATGCATGTCTTGTTGTTATACCATCAAATCAGAACTGATTCCAGCTGACCTTCCAGCTGGTTTTCTGAGGCAGTTAATCCTATGAGAGGAGATTGCTCCTGGAAGCAGTTGGTAGAGTTACTCTGTGTGCTTTTGGGTTGGCAATACAACTTCTTACCACTAAGCCACCAGAGGTCCCTGTATGTGTGCCCAGAAGCGGCAAAGTACCCCTGTACCCTTCCAAATACTTTACTGTTTGTTATGAGTGACTTGGAGGCAAAATGGGTTTCATCTGTTGAGCCTGATGCCTTCAGGAGACAAACTTTCAGGTTCTGCATTTAATAGTTAACCCTTTGTTATGGATTGAATTGAGTCCCCCCAAATGGTCAATGAAAAAGAGCAAGACTCTCAACAAGATGTATTTACACTGAAAATACAACAAAGGCTTCAGTATGTAGAGATCCTGAGGATTTCTGGTCACTGTGCATCTCACTGGACTCAACGGAACCTAACAACAAACCTGGGAATGGGCTTTTTTTGTTATTTAATGCGCCAGGGTTGATGTAGGATGTTTCTTAAAATCAATCTCTTTTGAGATATAAAAGAGCAACATAAGGAATTATCAAAAAAGCACAATTGGGAGAAGATAGAGGTGAAACCATAAGAAGATCAGGGAACAGCAGAAGCTGAACAGAAACAAGGATCTTCCTCCTGAGACAACAGAGACAGAAAGCAAGCAAGCCTTTCCTTAGTCATGGTGCCCTGCATTCAGACTTCTAACCTTTTGAGAAAATAAATTTCTGTTTGTTAAAACCATCCACTTTTGTCATTTCTGCTACAGTAGGGTTGCTGTTGTTGGTTACTATAGAGTCAGAACCGACCCACAGCTGACCTTCCAGTGGGCTTTCAGACGCAGCTACAGTAGGGTAGCACTATACTATATCCATCTGATTTACTTATCTTCATTCTCCATAAGCCTTAGGAGCGAACTCAGATTAAGAATTCCAAATTGTATTCAAACATAGAATGGGATATTATGAAAGCTGCTATATAACAACAGAATAGCGCTATGACCCCATTCAAAAGCTTAGAGCAGAAAATCTATTTTTCCCTTTCTTTGAAAACTAACACACACACTCTCATATTTATTGTAGCATTATTTATAGTAGGAAAGCACGTACAATAATGAATGGATGGCTAAAGAGACTATGGTACAATCATATAATGAAGCATCATGCATCACTAAAAAGTGATCAAGAATACATGAAAAACTGCACAACCTAGATGAATCTAGCACAAATTATGCAGAGTGATATAAAGTCAGTGATATAAATGACAAAGTATGCTGTTGTTTGATGCCATCAGACTATTAAAATAAAAAGAAAAGGAAGAAGGAAAGTTTTATTCACAAAATTAATCCTGGAGAGTTAAGAGGGATGAGAAGGGAAGGAGAGGGAAGTGAAAATTAATAAATAGATAAACTGGGTGAAAGGAGAGTTTGACTGAAAATTGTAGTGAATTAATCACATTAATCAAATGTAATTAATGTTGCAAGATACAATGTATAGGAATGAATAAATGAATGAAAAATCACTATGACTTATAAATTTTAAATACAAATTCTTTTATTGCTCAGAAAATATAAAAAGGAAAATTAACTTCTATACTTATTGTAACTATAATAAATTAGGAAATGCTCACCCAGCATGTATTCATCTTCCATACTAAAAGTCTCTACTTCATTAGGGAATTCTACCCATAGAGGCCTGGGGGAAAGGGAAGAAAAAAACCCCCTTATTTAGGATCTTTAGAGGTTTCATTATAATTTAATCATATATATGTTTCCTTTTATAAATCTTGAAAGAAAACTGGAAAGAGCTAATACTTTTTTATATCAATTAAGATTTTTATGAGCAATTGCTATGACTGCTATACACGTTTCTTATATGAAAGAGCTATTACTGCAAATGTCTTAGTGAAGGATTAAGAATCTCAACATCTGCAATTTTTACTTCTGATTTTTGAGCACTAACTACTACTGTGACCGGCAGAATCAGAGCTTTGTAAAGTTCAAAGGCTTAACTTCTTTGGTGTAAAACAAATTAAATGTCTGTCAAACCTAATTTATGATGATAATTCTGCGTGATTCTTTGATAATCTCCCAGCTTTTGACGCATTACTGATTCAAATGAAAAGAACTAATTTTTAGAGGGTTAAGAACTAAACATTTTAGAGGGTTAAGAACAATAATGAAACTTTCCCTATCAGTTTACCTGGATATGAAGTCAATAGTTCTAGTAATTTTTTTTTCAATTTCATGAGGAAAATACATTTTAAATATATATTTATTACTTACACTGTTTATTCACCAGCCTTGTGGTAATATAGCCCTTTTCTACCGAGTATAAATGGATCACAATGATCCTGGCTAATCTCTTTAATCATCATGGAAACATCTAACAAATACATATTCTTGGGACTGCTCCAAGTAGATCTGGAGGTGTGGCCTGAGACTATTTTAACAAAAGGTCTTTAAGTGATTCTGGTCTGAACCACTAATGAACACTGATCTTGAAGTATTTTTATGCAATCTACACATCAGGAAAAATGTTTATCTCAAGCTTTTAACAGTTTAGTTGCAAGGAAAAAGAAAGCATAAGAATGATAGAATAAGTTATCTTTAAGACAGAATTCTGAATAAATTCAGTTAAAGTCACTTCTTTTTAAAATCTTTTTCTCCTTATCAAATAGTAAAACTTTTAGATACAAATTAGGGATTTCTGGTGGATTTAATTTATCTTTGTGTCTTCTACAAAAGGCACCCTGGCTCAAAACCGATGCTGTGAATGAAATGAAAATTGATTAAGCACAGGCTTTCTTTCCTCTCCCCATTTCTTTGGAAATCATGTGATCATTCTGCTCCTCAGGAGCTGAGGGAATCTTCCTTTATAGATTGACTGTTGGGCCCTTCACGGTATGACATTTTTTTTTTACCTCATGACGGGTTCAGCAGTCACATGTGCGTGGAAGAACAGGGAATACCAATAGGGCAAAAGGGCATAGCGCTCTCTGATGGCTTCTCGGATCAGTCGGGTGTGTTTCTCCCCAAAGAGCCAGGGTTCTCGCCTCTTGGTATTCTGGGTGGCATGGCCTCGGAAGAAAGGCTGGTAGGCTCCGGCCTGGTACCAACGCACAAGCAGCTCTGCTTCTGGATTCCCGATGAATCCACCTACATCAGCTGGTTAGTCAAAGAAAGGCAAGGTGCACAGAGGTAAGAGAGGGCCAGGAAAAATTGACAGAAACAGGCACAGTACATGCTTTAAAATTATTTTATAAAAGTGTAGGGTTTTATTGTTATTTTATTTTATTATTTTGAGTGTGTGTGTGTGTGTGTGTGTGTGTGTGTGTACCGTCAAATCGGATCTGACTGGTACAGGAGGAGATGCCCCTCCTTCTCTGGCAGAGCATCTGGTGGATTCAAATCGTGTATCTCTGGGATTATAGTGCAGCTTCTTGCCATTAGGCCACCAGAGCTCCCCAAAAGTGTAGTTTTAAAAAAGTTTGGCCTCAATAAAAGACCTAAAAAGATGGAAAAAGGTGCCCTGTTCATGGGTAGGAAAACTCAATATTGTGAAAATGACAATCCTACCAAAAGCAATCTACATGTTCAATGCAATCCCAACCCAGATACCAAATTCATTTTTCAAAGAGATTGAAAGGGACATTGTCAAATGTATTTGGAGAGGAAAGAGACCTCAAATGAGCAAAACACTTCAGAAAACAAAAATTAGGTGAGAGGCATAGCACTCCCTGACCAAAACAGCATGGTACTGGTACAATAACAGGCCCATAGATCAATGGAACAGAACTGAGAACCCAGAAATACACCCAGCTATCTATGGTCAACTAATATTCAACAAAGAAATCAAACCTATCAAATGGCGAAATTATTATTTCTTCAACAAACGGTGCTGGCAAAACTGGACTGCTACTTGCGGAAAACTGAAACAGGATCCACATCTTACACCATACACAAAAATCAACTCAAGGTGGATCAGAGAGACCTGGGAGTAAAGCCCACAACCATAAAGTTCATAAGAGACAAACTAGGATCAAGCTTAGAAGCCCTAGTCCACGGTATAAAAAGACTGCCAAATACAAACAGAAATGCACAACCTGAAGAGGATAAAATTGATGAATGGGACTTTCAAAAGATTAAATCCCTGTGTACATAAAAAATTTTTTTCCAACAAGGCGAAAAGAAAACCTACTGACTGGGAACAAACATTTGGTAAAACCATTTCAGACAAGAGTCTTATAATGAAAGTTTACATAATACTCCTGGACCTTCACAAGAAAAAGACTGATAACCCAATTACAATATGGACAAAAGACATGTAAAGAATCTTCACAGAGGAAGATATTCAAATGGCAAACAGATACATGAAGAAATGGTTAAAATCACTGGCAATAAGAAAGATGCAAATTCAAACCACAAGAGATACCATCTCACTCTAGTAACAGTAGCAAAGTTTAATAAGACAGCAAGTAATAAATGTTGGTGCAGATGTGCTGAGATAGGAACTCTTATACATTGTTGGTGGGATTGTAAAATGGTACAATCACTCTGGAAGGCAGTTTGCCACTTCCTCAAAAAGCTGAACATAGAAATTCCATATGACCCAGCTGTTCCACTGTCTGGAATATACTCTGAAAAGAGAAGAACTGAAGCACAAACAAAGACTTGTACCCCAATGTTCATAACAGTACTGCAGAACACAGAAACAGCCCAGATGTCCAACTACAATGGAATGGATTGAGAAATCATGGTACATTCACACAGTGAATACTATACAAAACGCAGGAGCAATGATTTTGTAAATTACCTAACTTGGGCTTGACTGGAAAGCTTTATGCTGAGTGAACTCAGTCCCACAAGGACAAATATTGTATCCAAAGGGGGGTGGGGAAGCAGAGGGATGAGGATGTATAGAGAGATGGGGGGAATTAGTCATGCGGTTGTACACTCTGATGGGGGAGGTGAGGGAAACGGAAAAAATCTGGTCTGAAAAACAATGTATTTGAATTTTATAAATAAACTAGTATAATAATTAAAAAGACAAAACAAAAACCTACTAGAAGGTCAGCTATAAGTTGGTGCTGACTTGACAGTAATGAGTTTGAGATGTAATTCTTTATAGTAACAATAAAAATAGCAACGATACAACACCATCCAAAAAAAAAAAGTGTGCCTCGTTAAGAGACCATACTCATAAACTGAGCATGCTTGGCAATCTGTCACTATGCTCTTTATATATTCTTTTCTTAGGGAGCTCTGGTGGTCTAGTGGTAAGAATCTGTGCTGCAGTCCCAAAAATACACCATTTGAATCCACAAGCTGCTCCATGGGAGAAGGACGGACAATCTCCTCCTGTGCAGTTTACTGCCTCTGAAAACCTGCCAGAGGGTCAGCTGTGGGTAGGTTTTGACTTGACGGCACACAATAGCAACATATTATTTTCTTTTAAAAAAGTTGATTTTGGAACCAGTAACAGAAATTTCATCTTGAATGTCAGATTAAAGGGAGCTCTGGTGATATAATCCCCAGGAGTTGTGCTGTTAACACAAAAGTGATGTCTTTCTAAACTGCTTGAATCCACTGGCTGCTCCAAGGGAGAAAGGTGGACAATCTTTCCTGGGGGATTTACAGGCTCCAAAAACATGCTACCAGATCAGTTATGAGTTGGTTTTCACTTAATAAGTGTAGTCAGATTAAATGTATATATGTATTGTGGTGTGGTAGGGTAATTAACTTGATTTTCTTTGAAGCAACAGCTGAATCAAAATAAAAATTATAGGAAGAACTGAAGAAGTACAGCTAATAAGAACTGGAAAGTTTGGGTAGAATTTCATGCTGAACCTTGGGCATGAATATATTCCTTACTATGTATGTGGACTGAGGCTATAAAACACATTAATCAAAAAGTGATATTACATTGTTTTGGTCCCTACAGAAAGAGCTCTTGCAGTTCAGTTGGGTTAAGGGTTGAGTTGCCACTGTAAGGTCAATAGAGGGAACCCAGAAGCTGCTCCAAAGGAGAAATAAGAAAACGTTTGCTCTTGTTAAGGTTTACAGAAACCTAATGGGGCAGTTCTACTGGTCTACAGGCTTGCACTGAGTTGGAATCTGTGGATTGGGTTTGGGTTCCTACAGAAAATGAGGAATAGCTGCACCTTTCATACTGAGAGTCCTATCTGCAGAGAATAGTTAGGAAGCAAGGAAGGTAGACAGAGATTGATATTTAATCTTTCCCACAAAATAAAAAAAATGTTTTTACATTGTTAAACTATGTCACAGAATTTTAGATGTGCCCATAAGAGACATTCCTATAAAACCAACTTGTGATTTGCTAAATCATTTGCAATTATCTATTTTCTTACTTCCAAGTAAGGGTACATTTCAGGAAGAGACGCAGTTATCAAAAGTGGCTAAGGAGGAAGAGAACAGAAGAGAGGGAGAGAAACACTTTGGCTCCTTTTCTGACAACTTTATTTCAAGTCCTCAATTCAGAGAAGACACAAATAGCTCTGAAGTATCCTTTTTACCTTCCTCCCTCTAATCAGCTTTCCCTCATTTTTTCTTTCCTATATTTATCAATGTCCAAACCAGGACTTTGAGTTGGCTCACAGCCTTCGTATACACAAGGGCTGAAATCACACTGCATATCAACCAAGCTTGTTGCCCATGTGTTTTATTTCAAGTAAGAAACAAACAACCCTGCTCAAAGATTATGGCCAATTGGTGCTTCTATGAACACGTGTTGCTATCCAGAATCCTGCTCATAATCTCTGTCATCAGACTCTTAAAATTTTGAGGAGGAAGAAATTTTGGACAGCAACATGATGTTCAGGATTCTGGAAAATTAACACACATTAAAAACTGTGTGGTCTGTGCAGTTCGAATCCACCAGAAGCTCTGCTGGAGAAAGAGGGGCCATCTCCTCCTGTACCAGTCAGATCAGATTTGACGGGACACACATAAAATAAAAAAAAAATAATTAAAAAAACCCCAACACAACTGTGTGGTTGGCTGCCATCACTGAGAGGGACATGGCTGTTTCCTACTTAGGTCAGAATAACAATAGTAACAGATTTGGTTCTTATGGAATGCACAGGAGGCCTTTGTTTATAACAGTAATTATGAAACTTTTCAATTGGTTGGAATCCCTGGTTCAGAGATGCTAACAAGAACACGTTTGTGACAAGCATTGATGAAAGCTCTCTGGTGTTTTATTTTCTCAGGAAAAGACTTACCTCCACAAAAAGAGATCCCAGTTACGCTGAGTGTGAGTAACATTGGGATGGAAATTTTCAAGTAGCTCCAGTCTGATTTGTTGTCACCTGTCCACACAGCACCTTTGGTCACCAGTAACAAAGTATTTAAAGTAAAGTAAATCACATGTCAGTCTATAAGCTCAAGCTTATACTGTGATTATTTATGAGACTAATTAATACAATTTTTACCTTAGAATATACAAATCCTATCTTAAACTGTACAAATTTTTACTTTCTACAACAAAAAAAAAAATGACAGACGTGAAAAAGTTATTAAAATCTAAAAAATAAGTATTCTATTTAAATAGCACTTATATATTTTCCTCTTAAAATTAAGCCTGATTTTAGGAGGAAGCTTTTAATATAAACTTTATTGAAGCATAATTTAATATAATAAAATTTACATCAAGTGAAGCGTGTGATGATTTTGAGAAATGTATACACCTATGTAACTACTATTATAACTGAGGTTCCATATAAACAAACTAAATTAAAAAACAAAACAAAACAAACAAAAAAAAAATTTCCCTCATGCCTCTTCACAGTAAATAATCTTTATTTTAGTCAACAGTGACTTGATTTCTAGCTCTATAGGTCAGTCTTCTAGAATTTCATAAATGAAAACAAACAGTATACATTGTATACTGGCTTTTTTCATTCAGCAAAATGTTTTTTTAGATCCATTCATACTGTAATTTATTCTTTTTCACTTGTTGAGTAGAATTCAAACTATTTATCCATTCATCTATTGATGGACATTTAAATTCTTTTTAGACTTTGGCTATTATAAATAAAGCTTCTATTAACAAGGGGAAAGAGACAGTGGGAAAATCTTGAGGGCACAGAGTCATGGTGGCAGAGAGAGGGGTTGAAGAATTCAGAAAGATCTAGTGGGGACTTAAAAAGGTGAGGTAATGATGGGCATGGATCAATGGTGATTAATTTTATAAAACACAATGTATGTGAATGACACTACAAAACACAATGTGAATAGAGGAATGCATGAAACACTATGAATAAATGAAACACAATATATAAGAACTTTGTATGCAGAAAAAGTAAAAAGAAGAATATTAAAAAAGCAAAACTTTTATGAACATTTGTGTACAAACCTTTGTGTCATACATCTTAATTTCTCTTGGTGAATATTTAATTGGGGAATTTCTGGGTTGTATGCTGTATTAATTTAAGAAAGTTCCAAACTTGTTTAGCAAAAAGGTTGTACCATTTTACAGTCTCCATACTTTGGGCAAGCTATCAGGAGGGACCAGTCTCCAGAGAAAGATATTACTCTTGGAAAATCAGAGGGTGAATGAAGAAGAGGAAGATCCTCAACAAAATGGTTTGACAGTGACTAAAATAATAGGTTTAAGCACAGAACAGCACAGGATCAGAGAGGATTTCATTCTCTTGTGTATAGGTTTGCTAAGAGTTGGAGTCAGCTCAATGGCACCTAACAATAGCAGCAATGTATGAGAGTTCTAGTCAGTCTATGTCCTTGTCAATACGTAGTCTTCTTTCTTTTTAAAAGTTCCAGCCATTCTAATGTTGTGTGGGAGTACCTCTCTGTGGTTTTAATTTGGCCTAGTCCACAGGGAGTTGTATTGCTAATGCAAAGGGCATGCCCTTTGGAAGTTGGAATTCACCAGCCGCTCTCAGGGAGAAAGACAGGAAATCTTCTGTTTTATTTGTAGCCTCAGAAACTCAATAGAGGGTCAGCTATGAGTTGGATCTGACTTGTTGGTAATGAGAAGGAAAGGATAACTATTAAAAAGAGCCCTGATGGTACAAGGGTTAAGTATTTGGCTGCTAATCACAGAAGTTTGTAGTGTGAGACCACCAGAGTGGCTCAGAGGGGAAAAGATGTGGCCATTTGCTTCAACAAAGATAAGAGACTTTGAAACCCTATAAGGCAGATCTGTTCTGTTCTGTTCTATGGGGTAACTACAAATCAGAATCAACTTGATGCATTAAGTCTGGTTTTTCCTTGCTTAATTACAGGGTTCAGATCTGTTGTTCATAGAATCTTTATGAAGTCTACTCAACTCAACAGCACCTAACGCCACCACCACCAACAACAATTAATTAGGAAACTTTGGTGGCTTGCCAACCCAAAGGTATGTGGTTCAAAACCACCAGCTACTCCAAGGCAGAAAGATGGGCAATTTCCTCCTGTGTGATTTAAAGCTTCTAAAATCCTGCTAGAGGGTCATCTATGAGTCAGTTCTGACTTGACAGCACATTAACAATGCCAATGACAACAACAACAGCAATAACAATGACTACGTTGAACATTTTGTCTACAGTACTTAAATCTATTTAGTTTTTAATCAGATGATTTTTCTTTGTTTATATATTCTGAATACACACACACACACACACACACACACACACAGAGTCCTGGTGATGTCATGTGCTGTACTACTAACTGGAAGTTAGGCAGTTGGAATCCACAAGTTACTCTATAGAATACAGCTAGGCAGTGTCCTCCGATAAAGATTTACAGCCTTAGAAACTGAATGGAGGGTATGAGTCTGAATTGACTTTACAGAAGTTGGTTTGGTTTGAGGTTTGGCATATCTGTGGATATAATCTCATGAATGAGTTGTTGTTGTTGTTATGTGCCATCGAGTTGCTTGTGACTCATAGCGACCCTATGTGCAACAGCCCTAAACTCCGCTCTGTCCTGTGCCAATCGCACTGTCTCTGACACTCCCATCCCAATTATCCCAGTCACT